GAAAGACACTTACTTCTAGTTTTCCCACAAGCTATTAGTACTTATTTTGTCGCTCGCTAGCCATGTCTTGAATCAATTTTTTTTTACTAAGGCAACTGCCGAGGTCCCAGCTGTACCTGCTTCTATGTACCGGACAACACCACCAACATGAGTATTGTGTAGGTGACAAAAGTGACCTTTTAACCATCAGAACTAACAAAACAAGACACAAACCTGATGAGCAACAAGTCATTGAAAATGACACAGTCCCCGTTAAGTTCTCTTTGTGCTCGTCATATTAAAGCGGAGGGGTTGTCGCGAGCGTGTCCTTGAAATTTTAGTTCAAGTGGCGTATACAACAGATTGTTTATTTACATCAAAACACGTGTCATAGTAATATGGCTAAAATAAAAACAGCCGTTATTGAGCCATCTTTGATCTGATTATGAAACACACTGATATGTATGATGTATGGGCAGAGCTCCAGAAGGAGTACCTACACTTTATGCAATTTTTTTTTAAATTATGCTAATTTATTCATGACGTGTGCTCATGAATATTCATTAATTTGTGGGTCAATACATTTTAAAAGGGGCGATATATTATTTTTGGGGGAAGAGTTAGAAAGGGGGATTAGCAATCCTTAGGGGGTCAATACAAAAGAAGGGACCCATTTGGAGAGCAGCCATGCTCCTCGTGTCTGTTGTTGCACGTGACCTACAGCTGTCAACTGTGTTCGTTCTTCGACTGGCTTCCATGTGGGGTAGTATTCTTGTGTTCTGTTTTCCTGACTTGAGTTTTTGAATCCGCTGTTTATGTTTTTAACGTCTTTCATGTCTTTTGTAGGAATGTCCAATCCGTGATTCGAACTTGCGATCTTTGAGTTCCCAGCGCACTGTCTTGTCCACTGTACCACGAGTGTCTTCACACAGGAGTTAGGATTTAAGTCCTATTCATAGGAGCACTGTCTTCACTAGCATTCAAAATCTAACTAAACATACTGGATTCGAACCAGCGATCGCTCACATTGCTGACATAGTACAAATCAACTGAGCTATGTGGG